TGGCTCACATGATCCTGCCATCCAATGGTGAGCCCTGCTGGCTCATATGATCCTTACCCACCAATCAGACTAGCCCTGCTGGCTCACATGATCCTTACTCACCAATCAAAAAGCACCCCATGCCAACTGTCAATCCCTTCAACCATTAAACTGTCATAATTGTCACACCACCCCGGCTCTATAAATATGCAGAGCTGTTCCTCAATAAACGGGCATTTTCTCCAACGGCAAGCCTTGATGGTTCTTTCAGAGTTAGCTTAATGTACAGAGCAGTTTAAGCATATTTTAGACTAAAAGTATAGAAAATATGGGTTGAGCATGCACATAAGACCCTTTGGCAGGCTGCAGAAAGGCCTGGGGGGTCCCTGCATGGGTAAGAAGTTCAGATGGTGGCGAGAGGGGAGCAGGCGCTTAGTGAGGGGATCTCAGAGACAGGAAAGGGCGTCTGGGAAGCCAGAAGACAAGAGGTGCAGTGTATCCTGGACATCTGGAGACTGTCTCAGCCCCTGGGAGAGCAGCCTCCTCCATCGTAGCAGTGAGAATAAGGGAGAGGGAGGCTGAGGAGAAGGCAGGAGCATGAAGGCACAGGCTCAGAATGGCTGAGAAGTTAGGCAGAAAGAAAGCATACGTCGGGCTGCCGGTTGGTTGAGGGATGCCTTTGTTCTGTTCCATTAGTTTTACTTTTAAACACAATAAGAACTGAGTCAGAGGAAAGGGAGAGAGGAGGTGGGGAAGAGACTGGGCTACACAGGAGTAAGGAGCAGAACCCTCAGGACCCCCTGAGGAGGGGCTGGGACTGGAACCCAGTGACTGCTGGGTGGGCCAAGATGATCCCCAGGTCGACTGGTGACCTCTGGGTGAGCGAGGACAAGGACTGCAGCCTCGGGAGCACAGTGAGAAGAACGTCATCATCAGCAAACTTCAAGTAAGCTTTGAGATGGAAGGGAGGCCTGTGGGGGGTGGTATTGACATAGAGATGAAGGTGGCTTCCGCAGACGCTTGTGTCACCTGCCCAGCATGGTGACGTTTCCGGGTCCAAGACCACTGCTTAGAGACTGCAGCAGTTAACTGCATTTAAATGTCTGCTTCTGAAAGACCTCCCCCAGATCTAAGTCCCTCGCTTGGGCTCCCCCCTCGTGCCTGGGGAGCAGGAAGGAGAGGGGGCTACAGCCAAGGCACAGGGAAGGGGTCCACAATGGAGGGACTGCCACCGAGCTCTCCTCCCAGAGTCTGCGTCCCCGCTCCTGAAGCTGCGGGCTGGCCAGCCTGGACCGGCTCACAAGCGCATCTTCCCTTAGCCATTTCACGCCTGAATGTGAAAATCAAGCCCATTGGCTCCTTATTCAAAGTGGTTACCTGTTAGCTTATATTTATCTCTAAAATCTCGGGGTAAATCACACTCATAAGTGTTCAGCATGGGAAATTTGGGAAAGTAATGAATGATATGTCTAAGAAAAGAGTAATTGCCACTTGCTAACTATTTTTAACTATACAGAAGTGAGGACTAGTCCGCATGCAGTATGCCTACAGATCACCATGTTCTTTTCCCAAGATATAACTTTCCCAAAGATGACGTCAGTATTTGCCAAGGAAAGGTCGGGCGGCTCGATTGTTAGAGAAGACAGTGGTCTCAGCAGTCCAGCTGGTGTGCGGGGTCAGCCAGGTACTACTTCTAGAGGAATCTTGGTCTTTGCCTGGCAGGGGACCTTCAGTGGCTCTTTCTGGCTGGTGGGCAGTGAGGATGTGGCCTCCCACCACGTGGGACTTCCCTGTGTTCCCTTCGCCTATGCTTAGGTTGACTTTGATTGTCTGGAGCGTCTCCAGAACATTCCTCAGGGAGGGCTGATGGGAAGGATGTTGCCAGAGTGTCCACAGGTTTATAACTGTTGGCACTTTATATTTAACCATCATGTGCCAAAATACAAAATATTTGGCTCACATACTTTTTCCCTCAAGGTCCAAAATCATCCTTCGACATTGCCACTGAGAATTCTGAAGGCAAACTGATTTTCTCTCCTTTGTAAATTGTTATGATTTACATATTAACTGTCCCCCAAACCTCATGGGTGAGATGATGCAAGAATGTGGAGAGGTGAAATGGTTCCAGTATGAGAGGTGTCACCTAATCAGTGGGTTAATCCACTGACAGATTCACGTGGTGGTAACTGTAGGCAGATCAGGTGTGGCTGGAGGAGTGCCCTTGGGGTTTGTATTTTGTCCTTGGTGAGTGGAGCTCTCTTTTTCCTGGTGCCATGTCCTGAGCTGCTTTCCTCCACCTGCCCGTCCACCATGATATCTGCCTACCTCAGGCCCAGAGCTAGGGGTCAGCCAACCATGAACTGAACCTCTGAAGCCATGAGCACAACAGACCTGTCTTCCTTCTGTGTTGCTCTTGTTGGGTCTTTGGTCACAGTGACAAAAAGCTAACACATGAACTGACCATTTTCTTGGTCTAGATTTAAAAGGGCTTTAAAAAATCTTTTTCTCAAATCCAATAATATCACGGGATACAGCTTGGTCCACTGGTCTGTATGCTCAGGAATCAGGGTTCCAATTTAATATGTACTTTAAACCCTTCAACTCAGGAAATATGGACTGAGTTTTAAGTTTAGTCTTTATTTCATTGTTTCCTGGGGAAATTCTACTGTACACACTATGACATTTTTTCCCCTATAGTCTAAATTTTGCCACTTTCTTTTGAACACTTTTCCTTCGATTTTTAAAAGCTTCATTTACATCATCCTCATTTGTAAAATGACCTTTTTGAAAATTCTGATTCTTTGCTGAATGCCACCCCACATTCTCGAGTTTCACTAATTCTGAGTTATGTTGATCTTTTATCATCTTCCAATATTTTCTAAGTATCTTTCAGTTACTTTGAAGTGCTCGTTGAGATGGTTTCTTCTCTTCCCGCTTGGGAGGTGCCTATTTCCGACGTAGTCTGTCATCGTAGGAACAACTTTCCTTCCTTCTTTCCCTTGTGGTAACTGTGTGTGGAGTTACACCGCGACCCTTTCCCGTGGCCCATTTTTACCTGCCCAAGGTTTCTCTGGATGTGGGGGGAGAGATGGCTTCCTGGAGCTGGCCAGCGCCTGGCTGTCCACACCCTCTCCTGTTGCTCTCCAAGGGAGCGGCTGGTCCTCGCTTGCTGCCCAAGGGGCCGCTCTCTCTTTCTCCTTCCCCCACTCACAGTCTCCGCCTGCTCCCTTGGTCCACTGTCACTCTGTCTTCCTCTGGGTGGGACTTCCTCTTGGAAGCAGGTTGGCTTCATGGAGAGGAGACCCCAGCACTCTCCTTTAAAAAAAAAAGTTTTGAAATACTTATGTATGGGTGCTGCTGTGCCTTGGAATTAAAGTCTAAGAAAGACCGTCTTCAGCTAGCTGCTGGTCGTCAGGGGATGCTGGTCTGTCAAAACGATAATGCTAACAGAAGACGCTTTATGTTTAGGAGAATCAGATCAGAAAGCTATGGAGAGAATATGATGGAAAATTCAATACGCGTCTTGGCAAATTAAAGATGAGGCTAAATATGGGACTGAATCTCTTTTTTCTTTTGCCTCGCTTGGAATTTTAAAAATGATCTTCATCACCATTCAGAATATCAGTTAAGTCTTATTCACAGTAAAGATTTTGCCAAGTTGGAAAATCAGTCGTCAGTCTTCAGCAGAGAAAATTTAAAGGGAACAACAAAGGTCCACAGCCACACACACCCACCCCACATGCTGCCTTTTATCTCCTCTTATGGCAAAACAGCAATATGCTCTCGTGATACATCCTGGAGACCACTGTGTTCCTCTCCCTCATTCTATTAATAAAGGCCAATTAAGTTAATGCATCCCCTGGCAGGTCTAAATTCCTGGAAGATCGCTTTTTACTGGACTTCTTACTTTTGCTCTCATCTTTACTAAATTGGAATGGAAGAGAAATCCATTATGGCTATTACAAGAAGGGCAAAGGGAAAAGCGATATCTCTCCCCTCTCTCTCTCTCCCTCTCCCTCTCTCTGTCCCTCCTTCCTTTTCTTTCTCTCCCCCGCCTGAATAGAGATGGTGTTGTGCTGCAGGATGGGGACATAGGATAAGATGGTGTCCACTATGAAACATGGGAAGCCCTAGAAATTGGAGCCCGTCCTCAGTGACCCTGGACCAATAGTAGGCCTTATCCCGGAGTTCCTGACCCACGTCAGGTGCTGGGCAATGGTGCTTTGGTTTTGCCGGTAGTTGCACAGGATCCTCACAGACCATCAGTGTTGAGAATTCCATTAGGAGTTGGACCCTTGGTTTCAGGTAACCGCAGCCCTTATCAGGGCAGCTGCAGGTCACAGCTGTTTTCAGGATGGCGCGTGGCAATGCGTGTTGAGGTCAGGGTGAGCATACGCAGCAGAGTCCCACGGGCCGCGGGAGGAGGAGTGTGAGCAATGATGCTGGGTGGGAGACCCCAGGAGAGCCCGTCTGGCGGTGCAGCGTCGGCCCAGGAGAGGGTACTCCGAGGCTGCCGGAGCTCTGGGATGAGCAGGTCTGCCTGCTAACTGCAGGGGAGACGTGTAAGGCCTAGAGTTGCATGTGAGGGTGACGGGGGCTCCATGACATCTCCACCAGAAGCAGGCAGCCGGGGGACACCTGTGGGATGAGTGACCCTGCTGTACTGCCAATCCCGTGCTTGGCAGGGCTGAGGCTGCACAGACCCCGTGGCGGACAGCTCCCGGGCCTGGAGTCTAAGGGAGTGCTTTGAGCTGAAGTTTGCATGGAAAATGTTGAATTAAAGTATGTCATTTCCTTAGCTGCAGGTGTCCTAGTCCTGTGAATCTCAAAGCAGGGCTGAGAGTCGCGTCGCCGCTGCCCATGCCTCTCTGAACAGGATATCTTCTTGCCAAGTGAGAACCACCAGGCGTGAAGCTGTGGATGCCTCCTCACTGGCAGGGCTGTGTGGAGCTCCCTCTGGAAAGCCGGGAAAGCACGCCTGCCCCCTGGGAATCTCCAGGGCCGCCTGCTGCCTGGGTTTCCACTGGCTGCCCACCTATCTGGCTTCCGCATCTAGGTATTAAAAATAAAAGCCTGAAGTGGGACACTGGCATAAAACACAGACAAAGACACAGACCCCGAGAGTTCTCCTGAGGGAAGAGGGGAGCGCTCCCAGGACGTGAGTCGATGTTAGGTCTGACGATGGGACACTGAAGCCGTGAGATGGCAGGTGTGCCCTTCCGCAGGACCGCGAGCGCCCTGAGGGCCTCTTGTTAAGTCTTGGCACAATAATGCCTTCTATACCTGGGAACGTAATCAGTATCTACTGGAATAAAAAGACAGCAAGACATTTTTAAGTAGTTCACACTCACATTCAATCCAGGGTGCGTCACGGAGCTGAGGACCAGAAGACCAGGCACAGAGCCTCGAAGGTTTGCTGAGAATGAGTTAATCAGGGAGTCAGGACCAGGCTGTTCCCAGGAAGCTGGACGCGACCTCAGGAAAGGGTGCGCTACAGCGCTCCTCTGAGAAGAGCTGATGTTGAGAGAGGCGAGTCCAGGGCACAGCTGCCGTGGCTGGGTTCCTGGGCCACGGGCAGTCTTTCCCGGCTACAGAGCTGGGGTGCTTCTTCAGAAAGGAGAGGAGAGAGAAAGCTTAGGGCAGGTCGAAGGAAGTCCACCCACTGGGTCCTCATACCATCCTCACATCTGCAGCTTTGGCCAGGCAGGGTTCCATTCTAGAAATAATAATAATAAAACAATCAGGAACTTCCAGCTGTTGGAGACCAAGTGATGCACTTCCAGAAAACTGATCGAAGAAACGATCTTGAGGAGAATTAGAAGATATTTTGAAATGACAATGAAAATACAACAAAATAAAATTGGGAGATTGAACCCAGGGGTGCTTTACTACTGAGCTACATCCCTAGTCCTTCTTATTTTTTCTTTAAAGACAGGGTCTTGCAAA